TGCGATGAATTGCATAAAAAAAAAAACAAGACAAAAACTGTAAATATGACTAAATACATGGTTAAACACTGTACATAGCTTGCCTGCTTATCATACTGAAGACCGGTATAACTATCATCAAGGCTTGACCAAGTATTACGACTCCAATGAATGTCGACCGCAACCACAAAACAATAAAACACCATATCAATCCCTGCAACAATCCCTACAAATCGCAGAACACGCATCACAGAGTGAGCTTCCTACACTCTAAAAAAAGATGGTTCTTTAAAGGTTCTTTACATGCAGTAATGGTTTTATTTAGAACCATAGCTTTCATGCTATAGAGTTTAGAGTTCTTTTTTCCCGCCCTTTTGTTTTTTTGAATCTGTAACTGACAAAGCTCCTCATTACTGATTTTCTGGAGTTCAGAAAATCCAACTACACAGACTGCCAACACACTCTCAACAGGTAAATGTTTTCATTCTTAAAATTTAAATACAAATGTAACTTTAAAAATGTAACTGGTTTCCAAACAAACATGTTCTTATCTCTTTTTTTAGGCCACATATAAGTGCGTGCAGCTCTGCTAAGCTGTGGAAACTTCTCCAAGTAAAAGAGACAATGAATTTATAATTCATATTGTTCGATTTTTTTCATTATTACTTGGGTTTATGTATAAACATACCCAGTCACAAAAAATATTAAAACTATCCCATGAAAATCTTTTTTCTTTTAAAGATTGTGAAGGGCTCACAAACTGTAAATTTGTGCTTTTGGCCTTCATAAACATAATTGTTTTTACATAAACACATGGACACACTATAACTCTAAACTCAATTGTGTATTTCAGATGTATCACATCCCACAACCTCAACATCTGCAGAGAAAAACCGCTACATAATCACACCAAAATGATGGACTTTAAGGCATCATATTGATTGGATTATGATTGTTTCACTGAAAGTTGGTCTTCATCACATCTATTTTTTGTTCTTATTTTGTGTTTTACTTCTTTATGTATTTATTCATGTTCAATGTCATTTGTCATTCATTAATGTATTAAGGTAATAACTGTTGTTAAGAGCACTGACATAATTCACACAACATGCTGCTGTTGTGGTTATTGTTGTTGTTTTACTGTAAAACCCTAATCGAGGCTACACTCTAAGATGGCTCATTACTGATTTTCTGGAGCTCAGCCATCCAAATACACAGACTGTCAACACACTCACAACAGGTAAATGATTTCTTTCTTAAAATGTCTATAAATTATGAATTTCAAATGCTAATTGGTTTCCTATGTCTTTTCTCTTTTTAGTTTAAGAGAACATCCAAGTGTGACCAGCTCTATTCAGTTAAGGATACTCTCCTCTTTTTCACTAAGTAAGTAACAAAGATATTACATTTTTGGTCAATTTTGTTAGATATTTTTTATTACTAGGGTTTATGCATAAACATGCCAAGCTATCCCTTGACTTTACTTTTCCTTTTAATATTGTGAAGTGCTCACATACTACTTTTGGCCTTCATAAACATTTGTTTTCACATAAACAAATGAAAGGAGACACATTGTATATCTAAACTCAATTGTGCTTTTCAGATGCTACAACCTCATCATCTGCAGAGAGAAACTGCCATTCGATCACACCAAAATACAGATAATGATGAACTTAGAGGTATTATAGAGAATTGTGAAGATAATTCACTGGAGCTTGGTCTTCAATACACTATTTTATTTTGTTTTGTTTGATTTCTTTAAGCATTTATTTATGTTCAATGCCCATTGTCACTCATTAATGTATTCTGCTATTAACTGTTGTTAGAACACTGTCATTTTTGCTACAATTTCATGTCATCAAAAAAAGTACCTAATTGACACATTGTTGTTGATTTTATGTAAAACCCTAATAGACACTTCAAGATATTATAAGACCAGGCAGATAGAGGGGTAAAAAATAATATTAATAAATAATGTATACAAATAATACTAATATTAATGATATTCACATTCTGTGTGTGTGTGTTCACTGCTGTGTGTGTGCACTTTGGATGGGATAAATGCAGAGCACTAATTCCTAGTATGGGTCACCATACTTGGCCACATGTCACGTCACTTTCACTTTCAATCAATAAATTGGGGAAAAAAAGTAACTCAGATATGATCTTGTAAATTAAAAAGAAATGCGTTACTTTACTAGTTACTTGAAAAAAGTAATCTGATTACGTAACTTGCATTACTTGTAATGCGTTACCCCCAACACTGCCAATAAGGTCCTATATAGTATTTTCAAATCATGGTTCTATACGGAACCCTATTAAAAAGGTTCTAGTTAGCACTAAAAAGGGGTTCTACTATTGTTACAAGCCGAAGAACCCTTTTCTGGTACTGTTTAGAACCATTTTTCTTAAAAGTGTAAATTTATGTCAGCCAGCTATTACGTGCCAAAACAAGCCTCCATCACACAATCCTTCATTACGACAGCCCATAGCATCATCATATTATCCCCGATGAAATCCCTGGTGTCTGATAGAAAACGATCGCTCGTGTCAGATACTGAAAATGGCAGAAAGCTGCAGCCTGCTTTTTGATTCTGGGCTCAAAGTAGAACAAGTGTGCCTGCCAGCGCTGTCATTACCCTCGGCTTCAATTAACATCAAACGAATATCACAACTAAAATAGGCTGGTTTAAAGAAGCCAGCAGCAACCGAGCAGAGCGGGTGCACATTAAAGCGTTTACTATACATGCAAACAAGCTATAGGGGGAGAGATCCACTTGTTTGCCAGATCGTATGCATGAAAGGACACACACTGACAAGAATGAGCGATGTTTTCACAACCAAATGAGGAGGGAGGTCTCGCTATTTCGAGTGGGCCGGAAGAGACAGTCAGCGTGCCGCATTGCACGGACGGCGTGCGGTTCTCCTGGCATCGCTTAGTCTTAGAAGCTTTTCTCATAACGGCACTCGCTTGATTTTGAGCAACGACAACAAGTCTCTCTACGTTTTTTCATATTACTCCTCTCAGCGTGCATGAGATGTCTTTTTCAAGTGCAGCTACTTCAAAGCGAGGACGAGAGTCCCAGTGGGAACGAGGAGGAAGTAGAGAAGATAACATTGAAGTGTAGATCCTCTGTAGATCCGCGCGGGGAACCGCTCTGAGATGAGAAACCACATGTTTTCCTTTCTTATAAAGGATGTAAACTACATGCTAATGAGCGAAAGAGACAATGAATAATTTGCGATGTTTTTTAGGAGCTGACAAGGCATTGTGGGGTCATTACGCTCCTTTTGATGTGAATCTGGTTTGCTTTTTGTTATCGAGAACTAATTAAATGGCTTGTGAATTGCACCGGAGATGTGTTGAGAGAACTAGGAGTAACTAAAAATATGATGCATTCATAAATCCTTCTTGGAAACATAAGTATAGTGAAGTGCAATTAAAAAGTTAAAGTGATAGTCAGTTCAAACCTCTGAGACTTTCTTTCTTCTGCAGAACACGAGAACTGTTTTTATCCATACATTGAAAGTCAATGGGGACCAAAACAACACTGGACACAACTGACTGTCATTGTATGGGGAAAATAAATAAATAAATAAATACGGGAGTAATATTTAAAAAAATATATATTTTGTGTTTAACTCGAGAAAGAAAGTACGTTTAATCAACATCGTGAGCCTACAAACATGAACTAAAAAGGCTGCAAACAACTTGCTGCTGTTTCCTTATAGTTTAGTCACAGGATTTCTACAGGTTTTTACGAAGATACATTTAAGATTTTTAAGACATTTTATGACATTTGTATTGCCAGTCTTGTACATACCATTTTATATCTATCTTTATGTCTGTAAAGAAAATGTAAGGAATAAATTGAATGGAATATATTATGTAAAAAAAAAAAATCTTTAAGGCTTAAATATCTCTGCTCCCAACCAATATAATATAGAAATAACCTTTACTGTACTTTCTGATCACGCTGCAGAAACAAAGTTCTTTCTCAGTATTTTTGTCTTGTTTTCTAGTGAAGAAGATAAAAATTCTTTAAAAATCCAGATACATTTACTTGAGAAGCAAAATGTCCTAAAACAAGAAGTCTTGTTTTATGAGAAGTTGATCAAAATTAAGTAAGTTTATCATTAAAACATGAACATATATCTGCCCATGGGCTCAGGATAATCAACTTCATTCAAAGAGAAAACACATTTTCATACCCCACTGACAGAAATTGAACAACTAAGAAAGTTTATGCTTTCAAAAAAACATCTAAGAGAACATTTCTGTAAATGTATCTTGATTTAAGGATGTTTAGATACTTGTATTGGAGAACAAAACAAAAATACTGAGGAAGACATTATTATTTGCAGTGCATGTAGCATTTAATGCCATGACTTTATGAATTTCAGACATTCTGCTCTGATTTCAAACCTTTTTAGGTCTGTGGAAGGGTGAATTAAGACTTTTTAAGACTTGCAGAAACCCTGAGCCAATAATTTACAAAGTGAAAAACTGCACAAAAGCTTCTTGGCATCAAGCATAAACAAAGCACAAAATCACTTTGCATTTTTATAACTGTTCAATACTTGCACTGCATTCAAACACAACTGTGGTCACTTTAAATATTGGTATTTTTTTTACTTGGCAGGGACACGTCTCAACCATCCATACCCAATTCTACGTCTAAAGCCATCTTAGTTCAGTTTTAGGAAGACTTGTATCCATTTTAGCGTTCTGCATCTGTGCTAACAGAGCTGTGCTGTGTGGTAAGAGTGATGTGATTTATTGTGATGGATTTTGGAGGAGGGAAACAGGCTCCACATGAAGCTCATATCCTGGTTGGCGTTCGAAACGCTCTTTAAGATGCTACAATCTGATTAGAAGCTACATGGAAATAAAATATGACATGCATCCATTTTCTGTGCTCTTTTTTTGACGCCTACCTCATTTATTCTGCATTTCTCCTGCTGTTGTATCCTTTAAGAAGAGGCCAAATAAAACAGCCTTAATGACTGAGTAGAGTTACCTGCTGCTGGATTTCTCCGTCTTAAATCTCTTCAGACAGCCAGAGGAACAGCACCACACCAGAGAGAAACATCTGAAAGAGAAAAAGAGAACAGGATTTAGAGGTTTAGGGCCCCGAGTACAGAAACGAGAGGATATTCTCTCTGCTCCAGACACCTACACTAATTGAAACTGACATAGATATTTCATTTTTTATTCTTTCAGGAAGAGGCTTTGACTGAAAAGGGAAGTAGCATATGACACATAAGATTGACAAGCATAACGACACTGCCATATAAAAATCAAACCTAACAAATCAATTCAGTATCGCTCATGATATTACAATAAAGTGTGTAAATGTATTCAAAACTGCTATATGTTGTGATCTTTTCCTTATTTTTACTTAAATGTTTTGCACAATTTTATTCTTTGCTTATTCGTCATTTGAATTTCAGTGGTGGAAATAACTGAGCTTTCAATAAGAACTGCAGTAAATCTACTTTTTTCAAAAACATTAATGTGAAAAATAACTCAAAATATAAATTATTGGCATGAGAATATTGTAAGGTAAAAATAAATCAAATTAAAGGCTAAAAATAACATCACCTACCCTTTTCCCACCGCCCTCAGTGTCAATCTATGGCACATTTATTAAACATTAGATGCATTACTAAATATTTCATTCATGGACTTCAAAGGTTCCTGCTCCTGACAAAGAATACTCCAGTGAAGTCACTTAAAATAATCTCTTGTCATCTTGTGACGGGCTTTGTGATTTCTAAAGGAAGTGACAACAAAGAGTCACGTGTTTCTCACAGTTTGAAGGTCTTGATTCATGGATTACTGAAGCTTATTTTAGAGGTCAAACTCATCAGGGGGATTGCAGCTACACATCTGATATATAGGAGGAGAGATGGAAGAGTGCGATTTTTCTTACTCTGACAATTCCTGTCTCATCATGTGCTCATGCTTATTTTGTTTGAACGTTTAGCAAGAAAAATGTGACAGTGAAAGGTAGTGCATGCAT